ATGTATGTATGTATGTGTGTATGTATGTATGCGTGTATGTATGTATGGACAGATAACTATTCAAATGAGAGCAGTCCGCAACGGTCGCATCTGATCCAGGTTTTGGGGTATTTCTCCTTAAAACAGTGGCCACGGAGCAAATATAAAACCCATTTTGGTTCAGATTGGCTGGTGGAGAAAAAAGGTCACAATGAAGAGATGGTGTACCACAAGGCTCAGTCTTAGGACCCTCCCTCTTCACAAGTTGAAATTGCGGACCAAACTATGTAAAAGGGCCTTCTCTCACTCCGATCCTGTTACCTGGAATTTCTTGCAAAAAGATCTGAAGTTGTCGACTTTGACCACTCTGGGATTTTAAACAACTGTTAAGTTCACTGCAAAACCCAACGCAGATATGTTCCCGTTTGTAGTTACATCGCTTCATGGTGTTAACCGTTTTTGTTACATTTTTATATAATTTATTTTATTTACTTTCCATTTTATATGCTTTTACCTGTATATGATTGTCTGTTGTCTATTCCTCATCTGTGTTCTTTGTTGAAAACGGGTCTCTTGTAAATGAGTCCTCGAGGCTGAGTGAGACTAACCTGTATAAATAAAAGTTGAATGAGAAAATGGGGGGGGGGGGGGGTGACGGTGAGCTTTCTTATATATGTTACCCCTCCCCCTTTCTGCCAACCTTGGAGTCAGCATTTTTGAGGAGTGCCTCAGAGATGTCGTGCTGAATAATGTGTCCTATGAATAAAACACATTAAGCTACAAAACAAGTTGAATTATTCACATTTCAGAGCCTCCGTCCCCCCCCACCCCCCACCCCCCCCTCCCAACCCCCAAACACAGGACATTTTAGTTATTCAGTCCTCTGAGTCTCCGGCTCTGATCATTCCTCGGCTGGGTTTTGTTAATCCCTCTTTGTTCTTCTGTCTTCCCTCTCAGCTGAATTGGTGCCGATGTCTATTTTTACCCCCCCAGAGTTACTACTTTTTCCTGAAAATGTCTCGCTGTTTACGCAAGGAGCTCTCGAAGGCACCAAGGAGCGCGTTTGTTCTGGTGGAGTCTTTGACGACTCGGTGCCACACAGAGATCCAAACCGGATTCATCACCGAGCGCCAATCTGAAGCAACCAGCTGTGAGTGAACGAGGAAAAGAGAAGAAATTACAAGGAGAGGGTTGCTAATGAAATACTTGACCTAATATCTGTTTCACATCCTCAAGAAATGTTATTTTACTGATTGCAACATTCATCTCCGAAAAAAACAAGACAAGGTGTCTGTTAGCAGAATATCTTCTTAACCACTGGATGGAAACTTGCAGAAATTATTCATCAGATATTAAATATATTCACTTTTGCAATCAATCTACTTTAAGCTGGACCTCAAAGCCAATAGATTTGATCAGACACATGAACAGAATAAAAGTGTTTTTTTTTAATAATTTTTGTTAAGTTTTGGATGTTTTATTTTACTTTGACTCTCTTGGTGTTCCTGGTCAAAAATGGCCGATCATTAAACGTGACTACGTGAAATATCAGGTCAGCAGGTGGACATTAATTATTTCCCACACCCTCAGATGCATTTATAACTAGAGAAATTGCATTTCCTGCAAAAATGTAGTGTGAATGCTTATTCCTGAAAAACATTAAAATAGCTAAAAAAAAAAAAGCTTTCTTCTGCTAGCTTAGGCTTGTTCTTCCATTTCAGCATATTTCCTGAATTTGGTTTAAATAAGTAGAAATGAGCACAAAAATGAGTAAATAAGCTCTAAAAGCTGAAATTAGCAACAACAGCAAAATAAAAAATAGCTGAAAAGATAGAAAGAAGCTGAAACGACCAGAAGTGGAGACAGCACAAATGTGCCCTATTAGGCTGAAAGAAACAGAAGTGTGCACAAAAAAGTGGAGATCTGAAAAAGCTGCAATTTCCAACAACAATAACAACAACAGCCAAATATTAGCTACAAAGGAAGCTTAAATTTCCAAAAGGAAATGGAGAGAGCACAATTGTGCCCAATTAGGCTGAAAGAAGCAGTTCTATCTTATTTTATCTTTAAAAAGTGGAAATTATTTGAAAAAAGCAGGTTTGCAACAACAACAAAAAAAAAAACCAAACAGCAGAAAAGTAGCTAAAAAAAAGCAGAAAGATGCTTAAATTACTAGAAGGAACTGGAGAGAGCACATTTTTGCTGAATTGGACTGAAAAGTTTAAATGAGTGCAAAAAAATGTAGAATTAGCTGAAAAAGCTACAATAAGCATAAAAACGGCAAAATAGTAACTGGAATGGCTGAAACTTGCAGAAATAAGCTGAAAGGAGCACAACAAGCTGAATTTAGCAGAAAGAAGTGAGAAGAAGCACAAAAATGTAGTTTGCAGAATAGAGCAGAAAGGAGCACAAAACATCTGAAAATACAGCTGAAATGAGCTGAAAGTAGTTGAAATTAGCGGAAAAAAGGTTTCTATTAGCATAAGGAAGCTGAAAGAAGCTGAAGCAGAACAAAATGTGAAAGGAGCAGTAAAAGGTTGTAAACACATCTAAAGATTTGAAGGATAGAAAATGAGCTCAATTCATTTTCTATGAGGAAAAAAAAATGGCAGAAAAGGCTAAATATTTAAAAAAGCTAAAGTTGCACCAATATCAGAAGTCACAGCAGGATTGCCCTGAAAGAGCCGAACATTTTGATTTACGATTTGATCAAATAGCATAAAAATTGTAAAACGAGAAAGATGCTGAAAAACGTACGGAAGAAAAATTGATCATAATTGCGTGAATGCTTCATAAACATTAAGACACAAATGCACACAAACAAAAGCAGCATTAGTTCAACTGGATTTATTTTTTCCAGATCTAGTAAATAAAAGGTTTCTTAAGGCCTTGCTCACAGCTCAATCTGCAGCAGAACAATCAACAAAGTTCGGTTGAGTTGATGTGACGACCTCAGCCAGAGATGAGACTCTTGTGCTGGTGGTGAGGAGCATTAAAGATGGAGTCAGACCAACAGACAACCAAACGATCCAGTGAAGACAATGAAGGCCCGTCTGCGTATGCCGTTATTCTGATGAAAGAATTGAAGTATTTCTTGGCTTTGGATTATAGTGTTCTAACAATATTTTTACTCAGTCATTTACTTTTACACCATTTTCCATTCAGGGGAGCTGGTCCCGGTCTCCAGCAGTCGTGCGAAGAAGCGGGAGACAGGAAGCCCTGGACAGGTCTCAAAGGTCTTCATCACATAGTTAAATTTTCAGTTGTAGATTTGGCGCTACTATATGTTTACTATAAGTTTTCTCTTCCCAAATAAAATAATTCCTGTCACTTTTGACCAGAACACTGAGGGATGTTTAGCTGATCCATTCTTAAAAACGCAAAGTGTGCCGATGCGTTCAGCAGCCTCAGCACCACCAGCACCGACGCAGCTTGTGTTGCTCAGCACATTTATATTTGTGTTGTAACGTTGTTCGTTTGAAAAACAGCAACAAGCTGAACAAAAGTTTTAAAAGTTTAGCTAACAATTAGCCTAGCTTTCATCTTTTTCACCATCGTCTGCTCTGACTGACACCAAGGCTATTGGACCATTAGAACATAATTTTGGAAAATGACCAGACTTATCTCTTTCAGCAACTGTATGTGGTTTAAAATCAGGTGTTTAAAGTTTTAAAAACACCAATATGGAGCAATCAGAAAGGATGACACTCATTATGTTATTGGACTACAGTAGTCCCTCGATTATCACGGGGGTTATGTTCCAGACTCCACAGCGATAGGTGAAAAACCACGAAGTAGGAACACTATATTTATTGTAGTATTACATATATTGTAAGGCTTTATAAACCCTTCCCACACTCTTGCAATGTTCTTAATGTAATCTAAACTTTTAAACCTACCTAATTTTAACAGCATACATATAAGTACTGTACAGTACTGCAAAAATGTATGTGGGTACTCACCAGTGAAGATACTACTACAACTTGAAGGATGAGTTCAGCGTCAGGATTATTTGTGACTTTCCTTCCAGTTCTGTGAGTTTAATAGATCGTTACTTCTGACTTTGCATTGCAAAACTATTTTTACCACATCGGTTTATCTGCTAGTGTTTTCTCCCTCCATTGCTGTTCTTTGTTTGGCAGAAAGCAGTGGCTTCTGGGCCGTGTAGTTCTTTTGACTTGCATTACAGTGATTATTGAAAGAAAACTACAAAATGGTGGTGCCTGTCCAAAGTACGTTTAGTTCAGTTTCTCCTCTAGTGTTTGGTACCTCCATTGCTGTTCTTTGTTTGGCAGAAAGCAATGGCTTCTGGGCTGTGTAGTTCTTTTGACTTGTGTTACAGTAAAGGCTTATTGAAAGAAAACTACAAATGGTGGCACATGTCTGAAGTTTTTGTTTTGCTTTGTTTTTGTTCTCCGCTTCTGTTAACTTTTTATCCTGTAGCGTCCTGATCACTGAGTAATGTTAAAGTTGACGATCGTGTGTCTTGTACAATCTTACGTTGGAAACCCGCGAAAGAGCGAGTCTGTGAATGTTGAACCGCGAAGTATCGAGGGACTACTGTATTTTGTTTTTTTTCCAACGTCTCATTGTAAAAAAGGCAGAAATGTTTATTCTAAAAATATTTTTTAGTCCTCTTGTGCTCGTTTTTGACCCGTATTTAGTTTTAAGCCACTCGCTTGTCTAAACGACAAACATGGTCTCAACAGAACCTGCTGGCCCGAGTTTTACCAGAAACCATAGTGACCTGGAAAACTCTGACTCTCTGCTGTGTGCACGCAGGAACGAGGTGAAGCTACGAGCTTTCTGCAGCATCGACATCTCAGACAGCAGAACGTGATGTCACTGGGCACAAACCTCTGCTTCTTCAGTCTCAGCCACATATCAGGATCACACAGGCGTCTCAGAGTGTTTGTCATGGCTGCAGGCTCAGAACAAGCCGAGCTGATTCACAGAACCCCAGAAAAGATGAGCTGCATTGATTTCCTCCCATTTATTGGACAATATTTCTGTGTACTCACCAGGGCGCAGTACGTCTCTGGAGGGTCTCCACAGGTGATGTTGGGGGGATCCAGGGTAACCTTCAGGAACTGGGTCATGTCTGCCGCCTCTGGCTGGCAGGCCATGTAGTCCCAGGTCAAACCCTCGTCTGAGTAAACCTGAGACTTGCACACATCGTAGTGACCCCAAGCTGCGGGGTAGTTCTGAATAGCTGCATGGCAAATGCCAGTCCAAACCACCTGCAGCGCCAATGCCAACTGGAGATGCATGACTGGTCCTCTGTCAGCTCCTTCCAACGGAGCCATGGTTCTGTCTGAAGATGCACAAACAAGGGATTACTTTTCTTTTCCCAGTTTTGTCCTCGCACTTAAATGTAGTGAGGAGGCATGTCAAACTCCCTTAAGGGGGGGAGCATGGGTCAGCTTAGAAGGGTCTTGTTGGGGTCTTTTTCACTTTTCTGGAGAAGCTGAGAGGTTTCAGGCCCAAAGATAAAAAGGAAAAGGGGGAAGAAGACGGGGGGAGATAGCCGTCTGATAGGAAAGCGAGTATCAGGTGTCCTCAGCTCTCCTGGCTGTCAATCATGGTCCACTTCCTGAGTGATGATCTGGAGCTGCAGGGAAACAGAAGAAGAGCAAAGATGAGCAAATCTCCCTATTGGGAAGAGGTTCTGACACTGAAAACACAGCTGAGGCCACAGCAGGTGAGGAAAGGTGTATGTGTGGACAGAAAGTGGGGCGGGTGTGAGACAGAAGTGCCATGTTGGTGTTTGTTGTCCATCAATAGCAATTAGTGCATGAGGCCATCAGGGTAAATTAGATCCTGCTGATTCCACACCAAAGCCTACATTATTGGAGATTTCTCCTTTTATCATAAAAAGTGGTGTAGACTAGTGGCTCCCAAACCTTTCAGCTTCATCCTACAAAATAAAAGTTGCAGAGACTCGTGACTGATTGTTACTGGTTAAAAGTGCACATATTTTGCTGGAGAAATCTTTGAGCTCAATGGACAACGCTGAACGTCGAAGCCTGTCTCTCTGATGTTATAGGGGTGCATTAGTGCATGTGGCATGGACAACTTACACATTTGAAAAGGCAACATAAATGCAGAAATGTGCATACATGTTTTAGAACATCTGCTCCCATCCAGACATTTTTTTTAGGAAAGGTCTTGCATATTTCAGCAAGGCAATGCTGATCTGCACTCACATCATGGTTTTTGTAGTATAAAAGTACAGGTGCTGAACTGCCTGCCTGCAGTCCAGACCTCTCACTATCTCCAAACAACTGATGATGCACAAAACACAAACTCCACCAAGAAGATGCAGGACTGCAGAACAGTTAGAATCCCCCATCTGACCAGAATGGGACATTTACTACAAAAAAATCAAGAAACTGGTCCCCTCAGGTCCTGCACATTTACAGATTGTTGCTAAAGTAATAGGGGGTGTTTTACAGTGGGAACCATGGACAAAAGCCTAATTCTTTTTGTAATGGTTTGTAAAAGTCGACCCAAAGAGTGCAGACCAACTCAAGGGTCTTGAAAACAGCAAAAGTACCGCAAACAGTCAATTATACACAAGTTGACAAACTATTATACAGCAACACAACGATTTATGGTAATGACCCGGACAAGCAAAGACGAAATGTTGACTTTAACCTTGATTTGTGACCTTGACCTTACAGCTGGGTGGGACATAATAAAGTTGACAGACGTACGAACTAACGGAGGCTACTGTAGTCCCTCACTTATCATGGAGGTTACATTCCCAACACCCCCGCGACAGGTGAAAATTCACAAGGTAGGGATGTTATATTTATTTTACCATTTTATATATATAAAAAAGTTGTGTGTGTATATATACACAGTATATATATACACAGTATATATATATATATATATATATATATATATGCGCTTTATAAACCCTTCCCACACTCTTGCAATGTTCTTAATAATGTTGTAAACTCTCTAAAAGAGCACAGCAAAAGAAAGCAGACAGACTGATGCTACGGTTACTGAGTCAATCAGTGCCCGGGGATGGACTGGCCATCGGGAGCACCAGAATATTTCCCAGCTCAGTTTGGGTTGAGTTGACTCGGTTCAGGTCAAGTCTTGGTTCAGGTCACGCTACATTATTTTAAATAAACAATCCATGCCATTCACTCTGACATTCGCCTCACTGAAGTGATGAGGAAAAGACAGATCCTACCCCTCGGCGACCACTGAGCGGGCCAGGCCACCGGGAAACAATGAGTACAATCTTACATTGAAAGCCCGCAAAAGAGTGAGTCTGCAAAAGTCGAACAGCGAAGTATCAAGGGACTATTGTACTCCGCCTTTCGTCAGGTGTAAGAAAACTAAAATGTTTAGAAACAAAAAAAGACATTTCAAATCAAAACGCTGACACGGCAGCAGAAATACTAATAAAGTTTGAGGAAACATGGAGAAACCCTGACAGGACATGTAGCACAATGGTGGACTGCTGGATGAGGGCAGAGTATTAAAGGATGGGGGCTGATGAGTAGAGTGGAGGCACCTGAGCAAAATGACTACAGAGAACAGGTGTGAATGGGAGGAGCCGAGACTTTAATTTCCTGACATTTGTAAACTTGTTGCTGTTGTCAAATTCAACTTACCTTTTTTGTTTACCTAAACCAACAACAACGAGTTTGCACATGAGATTAACTAACCACTGAATTCAGTTTTTAGTTACATAACATCCAAACATTTTTGTAATCAAAGTTGTATGTCGTCTCTGCAGGCGCAGAATGAGGACACAGACCTGAGTCACCTGGCGGTGCGTGGCGCAGTTGGATGATTATATTTCAGCTCCATCCTGGAATGTTAACTTAATAATATTTAATAAAGCCGAGGTGGCAAACAGTTGTCAGTTTAAACGTCTAAAGGGACTCACGGGGCAGCATCATTACACATCATGTGTCAACCTGATGCGAGAAAATCAGTTTTAGCATTTAATTAAAAACTGGCTACTTTCTGTGGTTAAATAAAGATGCTGAACGACGTTTACAAATCAGAATCTGACTGCGGGATGATAAAACCATCATGCTGCACATTAGACATCTCTCTAATCCATTACTGAATGATTAATGTACCACTAGTAATTAAAGATGCTTTGATTAAACACCAAAATAAGAGTTATCTTTAACTAAATAAAATTCATCCTAAGTTGATATAGCTCCATTTCTCTGTAGTGTGTAAAATCAGCAGGTTAAAGATGCGCCCAGCTTTTAAACCATGTAAGGATCTGCCCATAACTGGAGCCCCGGCAGTACATCATACGCCGTGACTTATTTCCGATGGTGCACCGCCTCCATTTATAACTGCCAGCCCAGCGAGGCCACAGCTGCTGTGTGCACGGATGCTGCATGCCTTTTCCCTTTGACCAGCTTTTCTTTTGTCAATGGCCATTTTAAACACTAAATCAGTGTTTATTTCTTGTATTTTTACAGCTTATTGTGTTAGGTCTTCATGATTTAGTTTGCGGTTGACCTTTTAAATGAAGACGTGCACAAACTCCACGTCTCGGCAGCAAGAAACCCAAGGCCGTGTTCCCTGCCGTCAAAAGCACGAAAAAGACCAACTTAAAGGAATATGCTTTGTGCAGTTAAATAAGTCAGGGTTGTGTATCGATGGGTTTGTGGTCGAGGTAATACACACCATACACCTCTAACAATTCCATACACTAAAGAACAAAAAAGGTTGAATCATGTCATCTGGACTTCGTTTTTTTT